TATATATATATATATATTATCTGACGACCTCCAATAGATCAAAATTCTCCCATTTGAACAATGATGCCATTTAATACCATTCTACTGATTTTGGGCAACTGGGCGATGGTGATAATTCATAGCTGTGAAATCGAAAACTCCGTTTGTCAGCCTCCCTCCGCGGCGTGTACCAGGGAATATGGAATACCAATCATGTGGTCATGCATGCCGACTTGGTTTCAAAGGATATTTGAAGAAACTAGTTTTACTTCACATTCACAGAAAAACTAAAATGTAATTTTTAAATCCTGCAACAGCTTGATTTACTTTCACATTGATTTTATTACTTTGGTAATATATACTATTTCTTATTACAACTTGTTTACCATAATATTTTAAAGAATAAGTTTTGAACTAATGGGAGGTGTTTTCTACACTACAGCAAAGAGCTTGCAGTGCGCTCTATAGAGCGCACTGCAAGCTCTTTGCTGCCTATACTATTTAGATATTAGACGGTAAGGTTAATTTCCAAGATAATTAGTAAAGATTGTGGCCGGGATAGCCTGATTGGCAGGGCGCTGGACTCACGTTTGTGTGAACGGGAGCTCGAATTCAGCCGGCCGGAGATACCCAGTGTAGTAAATGGTGACTGGTGCACGTTAAAAATATCGGGTCGCAAAGTCCTCCATGTTTCTATAACATATTAATACCTTTGAGGGTACTGAATTAGAAATTGATCATTCTCTGGTTCAGGTCTAAAATTACGATCTGTGGATGGATGTATGAATGGGTCCGCCCTATAAACGATTGTGACGTGTGGGTGTGGCAAAAGTCGAATTCTTGGCCATAGATGGTGCCACTGGAAAACAAGAACAATTTCACCCTCGCTGCCTTAATGGCTGACGATAATAACAACATTAGTAAAGATTAGATAGTTACTGAAATCTTAATAAATTTTATGTTAACAACGACAAACATCTATAGTTTTTTGCCGACGTTTTTTTGTAATGGAGCAAATTTAATCACAATTAAAATCTTATTATATCTGCTGTTGACAAAAGTGTTCCTTTAGATACTATACAAACGTCCTAGGTTCACACAGAAAAGGCATAGAATTGTCAACTAGTCACACAGAATTTTAACAAAACATTTTTTTTTTGGAAAAATTAAGATTTTTGATGAAATTTTGAAAATTTTGCCGCTCTGAATAGTAAGTGATATGAGTACACAGAACTTTTTATGTTAAAGTAAAATGTAAGAGACACGTAAAATAGAAAAATACGCAATTTATTCGACAAAATTCTTATAGCACAGCAAATAAGAATATTCAAATAAGTATCAAATTCATGGACTAATACTTTTTCAGCTTTGTATCACAATCAGACCTTTATTTTATCGGATTTTTTATTTCTTTTCTGATGAGACAAATGTACAGTACGCTCTATAAACACAGTTCTTAGAAACTCTATAAACACAGTTCATTTTTGAATTTTTGGTAGAATATGTAGATTAAAAAACAAACATATTATGGGTTGCAAATTAATAAATAACATAACACTATCAAAATCTTTCAAATCAAAATCTAGGAAGGCTATTGTACAGAAATCTGTTCGATTGAAACTTGAAAGTGTTTAGCAATCGTATTTCCTCTCGGTATAAAACATATTTTTGTGTTTACTTTTCAATGGTGTATATAGTTTGTCTAAAATAAGAACTCCCCCAGACATACGTCTGGAACTGTGGCGGTGACTATGGTAACGACGTATGACTATTTCAAGTAGGGGTGCGAGGTCACTGCTTTGGAGTGGTTCCGGCGAAAGGGAATCTCTTTCTTCAGTCTATTGTGTTAGTCTTAGAGTAAAGCTACCCTCCCTAAAATGAGCCATTCTCGTTTCCATAGCACCAGACAGCCTCAGACTTAGTGGCAGGAGGACTTCTTATCTTAGACAAACTATAGTTGTAGTTTGCATAGTTTCCTGCATACATTTGTCTGAAGTAAGAACTCCCCTAGTCATTCATCTGGACCAGTGGCTGTGACTATGGTTATGAGATATAACTATTTCAAGTAGGGGTGTGGGGTCATTGTTTAGGACAGGTTTTGGCACTGGTCGGTGAGAGAAAAGGAATCTTTTTCTTCGGTCTATTGTGTTATCCCTAGATTGAAGAGAAGCTATACCCTCCCTGAAATGTGCTATTCTTGTTTCCATAGCATCAGACGGCCTCAGATTTTGTGGCGGGAGGAGTTCTGACAGTAGACAAACTATATAGATGTATTTATTCCAAGTTTAACAATAGTATAACTTCTCTTATTAAAATATTCTCCCAATACGATCCTCTGCTTTTCAGAGCAGTGACGGTGTGAATGTCAGGTGGCATTTCACTGTTCTGGACACAGTAAGGTTCTGTGGCGCCAGTTCTGAGGAATAAAGAGTCTTCCGGTTCGATGGCGGGAATTGGCTTGGCGTGAAAACCCATGATGGCGACTGTAGAATTGGCGCACTTCTTGTTAACGAAATCTGCGTAACTGCTGCAGTTGACAGCTTTGAAAGAACAGTTGGTATCATTGATGGAGTTCGTAAACAGGTCTATCGCCCGGATATGATCACATATATTTTCTCGAACAAGCTCCGGAACTAGGGGGAAAAATAGAAACAATGGCAGTCATTCTAAACATAATTCAGAGTTTCACATAAATTGTTCCGTGTACACCACTGTCAACGTTTAGAATTCTCGACAAAAATGATGTAAGGAACATTTGGGGTAGCAAATTAAAACTTAAGAGAACTCCATACTGCGGAAGAAAATTTAGCTAGCAAATTCTCTTTGTCCTTCATTACCAATTTAAAATGTAGAAAAAGTAAGTTCAGACAAACCTAGAATAAGCCATGAAGTTTCAAATACTGAAAAGAAAAATTTTAAATATACAAATGAAAATAAATGATGAGATTATAATTTTGTATTATGCAGCGGAGAAGTTCTCTTCCGATAATTTGTTTGCATTTGAATATTTTGAAGTATTTTTGTCAGCAATTGAAACGTCATGACTTACTCTAGGTTTGCCTGAATTTACTTTTTCGTTTTTTTAAATTTTAAATTAGAGTAATAAAGGAGAATTTTAGACTAAAATTTTCTTCCTCGGTATGGCATCTTCTTAAACGAGAAAAATTAAAAGGGCTATTTAAATACGAAAAACAATTAAATTTCGTCTTACATTTAGGAAATCAGTATTTAGCATCAAAACTAGTTTGCTTTATTTTTGACTTTCGCTTCGACTGAATTTTCTCAGGTAATCAATCAGGCTTGAATTCCTTATGACTTGCATAGTTTATTCTATCCAAAGGTTGGGACGAATTGAGAAATATAGAAACCGAAAAAGGCCAGCTCTCCGAATGCGTAACTATTGCTTGGAATTGCTCAATATGGGATGCTTGCCAGAAAATGAAAGCAACATACGCACCAGCAAAGCATTATGTGTGCAAAGATTCAGTGTACCGAATCAGTTGCAAAGTGACAGTCAGGATAGCTATATTGCTTGAAATGGTTGTTTGTTGGGTAGGATGCTTTCCGCCATTTAATTATTCTATTCTATCTCAAAATGTGCAAGCAGGTATAATTAACGCAACTTCGATGCATAATTAGTGTGTTTATGTTCCACATGGCTTCGCACCTTCCTCTGTGCAAATATAAAGCGAAAAAATTAAAATCCGAGAGAGAGAATCTTTGTGAAAGAATTTAGAATGTGTAACTTAAGAGAATTGCTACTTGATGGGCTTGGCTTACTCGAAATATAATCGAAAGAATAGTTGCTAACATAAAAAAATTCCACTTTCAGCAACCAATTAGGATCGAGCAACAAACATTACGTCACTTGCAGGTATACCAATGTAGTTATTAAATTGCATAAATAATGGAGTATTCTCACTGCACACGATTCCCTCATGCGTGATCAGTTCCTCCTACACGTGTTCTTAAATATTTGACCCCTTGTCTTAAGGAAATCAAATGCAGTGTGAAAAGCCCCTAAAGTAGATTCTGAACCACTAACGGCTGATGCACTTGTATCCGATAGCCCAAGACACGAGCGCAAATGTTTAGAATTTATATAAAACGCATAGGCGAATCGCCTTAATGTGCGATCGCTTATGCCCATCGCATGAGGTGAGAATACTCAATCAGTCGCAATCGAAGAAAGTGCAACCCTAATAGATAACCCAAGGTCGGAATAGCCTGGTTGGTAGGGCACTGGGCTCATGTCCAGGAGTTCGTGGGTTCGATCTCCGCCGGCCAAAGACTCTCCGTGTGGTGACTGATGCATGTTCAATCTGTCGAGTCTCAAAGTCCTTCATGTTCCCATAACAAATCAATGCCTCTGGGGGCATTGGGGTTCTAGGAATTTCCTTGTCTTCTGGATTGGTTTCAAAAATTACAAGGCTACGGCGTTGAACATTTGTAGTCGTAAACCCAAAAACTAGATCGACTGTTCAAAGACGGATATAAAATAAAATATATAACCCAAATATTAAAAAGGAAGTAGATCCCTGGTCTAAAGCGGGGAAGAACTAGGCATAACACACCATACCGACTGGATGGTGAAATAGCAAAGCATTACGAATGAGATATCTTAACAGTTTTGTTTTCTAAGTAAATATTTGCCTCATCCTCGTTGCTATTCGAAGCCGGAAAAGAGTTTATTTGGTTCTGTTACGCAACTAGCCATGCTCAGAGGGTGATAATCACGCTTCAAAATCGTTAATTGTTCAGATGCTGTTGTAGTTTTTTTACGTCGCACTGGAGCTGCTCAATGGGCTGTTGGCGACGGTCTGGGAAACATCCCTAAGGATGATCCGAAGGCATGCCATCACAATTTTGATCCTCTGCAGAAAAGATGGCAATCCCGCTTCGGTAGCCCGACCACCTGCATGCGAAGTCGAGCACTTTACAGTAGAACAGTTTAACGAGGACCAATACTGCACATCCTCGGTCCCTACGTAGACTGATCCAAGTAGTCACCCACCTGCACACTGACCACAGCCAGTGATGCTTGACATCGGTAGTCGGATGGGAACCGTGTCTTAAAGATCAGTCCACTGCGGAACCGCTAATGGTTCAGATTGTGGATGAAGTTGAGGCAAATATTTAAATTTTTGCTATAAGTTCGGTTGACAATTACAATACAAAATGAAAAGATGTCCATTTAGGAGCACTATGATATTTGAAGCAACTGTTACTTACGGTTTAAAAAGCTAGTATCATTTCCACATCCAGGTTCTTGCACGCCCCCATCAGGGAAAAAATTCTGATGTCCAAAATGTTGAAGAGTCCCCAAGCCTGCGCAAGGAAACAGTGGAATGATCAAAATCGTGGATTTAGCCATTTTGGATTTTAGGCAAAATTGTTGTTTTGCGTTTTCTTGATATTTTTTTTGTACTTAACAAACTTGTAATATGATACTATTATTATTTAGCGCAATGGATGGTGTTTTCAATATAAATATCAACAACAATCTCGAGCTTTTGATCTTTTCTACTTTCAGTTAGAAAGTATACGGCTGCTTACTACAATTTATTCTACGAGGGGATATTTTCAAACAGATAATTTTGTTTTCAATAAAAGAAATAAATTATATAATTTCTGAGCTGAAATCAGCTGTATCTCATTAGGTATTAATGACATTAAGTAATTCTGATGAGTTTGAAGTGAAAATTTATTTCAGTTATTTAGAGATGCCTTGTTAATAATGATGACATGGTTGCTAGATTTAGAAAAAACTCGCTTTTTTGGCAGTCTGATTTGGCTTCATTTTACTTGCTTATTGCTGTTCGATCTTGCCATGCACCATCATGCGTTAGTGTTAGCATATCGTTCAAGCAGGTGAAATTCAGTTCATTTTACAAATTCTTATTTAGGTTTATATTTCGAAGTTGTTATATTGTTGACATGGTATGAAGTGTTTTATAACGATTCTTTTTTTTTTCAGTTGACGATTCTTACGCCTTGAAGGGACAGGTCTTCAAATGACTATTCTTGTAACGATTCTTTTTTTTAAATACAAATAATAAATCAGGTAACTAATACACGTGTACAAAAAATACTTCTCTAGAGAATCTCAAAACACAATGATCACATTGTGAGCCGAATGGCTACAAAATACACCGTAAACAGTAAGTATAGGCAGTCAAGAGCTTGCATTGCATCCTATAGTGTAGAAAACACCAAACATACATTTAAAAAAGAGGAGCCACTTTTTTAAATTAAAAGAAATCGCGCTTGATAACACTGGGAAACAATTTCATTTGTTTTGTTTTCTGTTGCATGAGATCTTTTTAAAACAGATCTGAGATATTTTCATATCGCTGATTTCAAAACTGCAATAGGTTTCTCTTTCCAAACCACAGTTTTTTAAATGATATTTTTAGTGTTCTTTTTGTCAAAATGTTATATAAGATGTTATGTATAACAGAGAGCTGCATAACTGTCGGGACAAACTTCCAGGAAGGTTAGGGCATATCATCAGGATTAAAATTTCATTGGATACCGTGCCCGGAAATGTCATCATATGCCTCTAGGGGTGCTTCTCCTATTATGAATTGTTTCTTCGTGTGCTTCTAAACAGGTCGTAATAGGGTATCGCCGCTAATCGTGCACGGTGATATTTCCGGGTATTGGTTCCTATCAAGTTTAAATCCCGATGATCTGCCCTAATTCTCCTAGAAATTAATGCAACCTTCTGTTATACATAACGTTTTTAAACTTGAACATTTCGACGAAAATATTATTAAAAAAAACTGTACTTTTAGGAGTAAAGCTAATTTTAGATTTTAAATACCCACACCCGAACTAAGTAAGATTAAGTATTTAAATGCAACAGAAAGATGCAAGGCGCAACGATAAATTTGTTCCCCAGTGTAATTTTTAGAACTTCTATTGATTTTTTTCTCATTACTTTAAAGCAATAAAATGATGCAATTTATAGTTTAAAATCCGTAATTTAAAATTAAACATTTGTCTGTTTCGAGAATTTTATTAATATAATTTTATTACGGTTTCAAAACTGATTTTGGTGATGCTAAAACATTCTTTCAACATTAATTGTGCAAGAAAAAGTACTTAAAAATAAAGAAAATTTAAGATGCATTTTCAAAAAATTTAAATTTTTTTTTTAAAGAAACTGCAAAACTGATGTAGAAAATGAGATGGGTATGACATTTTCCCGTTTACCTCTTCCAACACATTCCTGGTTTTTACACGTTTGAAACTTAGGCTTTGTATCGATAAATATACTGTGAGTACAATATTCATAATGATATACAATAATCAACAATTAAAACAATAATTAATACAATGATAACAGTGATACAATAATTACTGAGCGTCTATTAAATCATATCTAAACTTGAAAGTATGAACACAATTTACACTTTTTGGATATCTTTCAGAGTGCAAAATAATTCAGTCGTTAATTAAGAAATTTGAGGATAAAAAACTTATCTATTTTTTTTCCATAAGCACTAAGAAAGAACACTTGTTACAAACACTTTATTGGGAGCATTTTTTAGAAGCATTTACTAGAAGCATTTTATTCGAAGTATTTTTTGTCATCTTAATATCTCGATTTCTAACTAATAAATTTTTTTTTCAGTCGGAAGTAACATCTGTTGACGAACTTAATAATTAATTTGAAGCTTAGTGAAAAAAATTTATCTCGTTTATTTAGAAGAATTCTGTTAGCAGGCATGTGTTCTTTGCTTTCGATTTTTTTTTCAAATTGTGGACCATTTTTGATTGAGCCATCTGGTAAAAGAAGATACATCTTATGTGATATGTTGTGGCTGCATCTAGATCAGAACATCCCTTCATTTTCTTTATTCCATATTTTTTTTCTCCACTGAATCACTTTGTAAACGGCTTTAATATTCTAATACTAATTTCTCTTAAAAGTAGTGTCACATATTTTTTCACTGCAAATTGTGAAAATGTGATTAAAATTCTTTCATAAAACGCATTTTGAAACAAAAAAAGGTTCTAAATATATCGAGGATGATGCATGAAACTTTAGCCAAGCATTCTCTTACAAATAAATATTTTTAAAGTGTATGTAATTTAAAACAAACTGCACGTAAAAAAACGTAGAACAACTGATACAATGTTCAAATAGAATAAACAAGTATGGAGATTCACGTAAAATTTAGCTAAAATTGTGTTAGTAGAATTAAATATAAAAATATTTATAAAAATTGTAATCGCATTATTGCGATCGCTGATCAATTACTTTTTTTCCTTGGAGTATTAGAACATTTCAAGTTATGATTTGCAAGAACTGCATCAATTGATGTATGTTCTCCAGTCAATTATACGTTTCTTAAGATATCGCAAAACTCTTTTCTTTCTTCATTATTCGCATTCGTAATAGCCGGCCAAGACAATAATTATGAATAAGTTGACCTTAAAAATACTTAAAATGATATTACTTAAAATCATTGAGAATCCACGCTAGTAAAAGTAAAAATTCAGTCTGCAAAACAATCAACTCCAAGAAGTTCCAAAATTATCGTCTGCTTTTTTTTCCTTTCTTGTTTTATTTGATCTAATCGTGCTTATGTTAGCCTGATTTTTTATGATTCTTACAACTCTTTATTTGTGATAATGGTGTTGAAATTAGTCTTATCGAGAAGTGTGCCACCCAATTTCTTAATAGGTAAAAAAATGTCAAATCAATTGAAAAAAGCAATTTAAATAAAATACCTCCACCTGCTGTGTTAATAGTATCGACGAATAAAGCATCAGATGGTGCTAGGTGTACGATAGTAGCTGTACCACTGAAGTAAGGACCGGCTGGTGAAAGAGCTGAAATAACATGTTTTAACTCGTTAACATAATTTATTTCATACAGCTCAAAGTTTTTTTAGAAATAGTACAACTAATTATATAGAGCCGCTGGTGTTTAGGGGATTAAGCGCCCGTAAACAAGGTGATCTAGAACCCAACGAAAGCGATGGATGGGTTATACGAATTTGCACCCGGCTAGCACTGACCACAGAGCTGACATAAAATATCCTCATTGGTAGAAGGATTATGGGTAAGAACCTCCTTTCTCCGTTTATCTTAGAAGGTTTTCGCCATTTTACCCCCGTATAAAGTAAATACAGGTTTGTTCTACCAAAATGTCCTCAACGAAGGCTACTTTGTCCCAATGCTTATTTCATAAAGTTTCCTTGTTCTTCTGGGTTGGGTTCAAAAATACAAGGCTGCGAAGTTGAACGCGGATAGTCGTAAACCCAAGAATTAATCACTTGTTTAATGCCTATTATAAAATAATATAAAACTAATCAGTTAAAATAGAATTAAAAAAAATTCGAACTTTTATTTCATTCAGTATAGATAGTCTCAAATGTGAGAATACGAATTTTATCTTACTAGCAAACTACTTCCGACTAATCGGAAAATTTTCTATTTTAAAACTGTTAAGATCAGAGGTCTACAGAAACTTAAAATTTCTAGGTGTTAAGATATATTTTTAGAAGTCATAAAGCTGTTATAAAATTCATATATTTCACGCTGGACACGGTTTCCAGTAGGACACCGAAGTCAAGCATCATAGGCTGCGATCAGTAAGCGGGTGGGTGACCACTTTGATCAGCCTGCGTAGGGACCGAGGATGTGCGGCATCGGTCCTCGTTAAACTGTTCCACCGTAAAGTGCTCGACTTGACACGCAGGTCGTCAGGCTACCAAAGCAGGAAAGTCATCCCCTTTTCAGAGGATCAAAATTGCGATAGCATGTTTTCGGATCATCCTCAGGGATGTTTCCCATACAATCGCCAATAGCCCATTGTGCAGCTCTAGTGCGACGTAACTACTAGTGCGTAGTACCTACCTACTTCATATATTTCACGAATTGTTGTTGTTAATTTATTTCGCACTAGAGCTGTACAATGGGCTATTGGCGATTGTATGGGAAACATCCCGGAGGATGATCCGAAGACATGCCGTCACAATTTTGATCCTCTGTGGATGAGATATTTCACGAATAATAAAGAATGTTTCAATCGATCGTTTGTTATTTTTGACACTGCTGTTTTCAAACCGAAAGGTCTTTGCATCAAGTGTGACTGTGGTCTTTAACGTTTTGCTTACCGCTGGTACAACCGATGGTCTAGAACAGCAGGTGCTATCCAAAAGGTTAAATTTCATAAAAATGCAATGTTTAAGGACGTTAAAGCGTTACGGATGGTTTAATTGCAGGTCCCCACACTGGCAAATGTCGGGTAGTTTATTTGAAAGTATCAAGATATTAAGGGTTTAATAATCCCACTCTGTTTAATAATCCCACTCACCAACCAAAAAGAAGAAAGAAAACAAAATATACCTGATATTCTTCCAAAATTGTGTATTCTCTTTCCTATATATCCACATACGTGTCCTCCCAAACTTGGGCCTATACAATGCATACTTTCAGCTCTAACACCAGTTACATTCTACAAAGAAATTTCTTGAATCAAGTGCTTAGAAAGCTTTGTTCTATGGAATAATTAGTTGATTATCCATATTAGATCGTCTGAAGATTTAATCAAATGAGCATCTTGCTCTTAGAAAGAAAATATCGCATTCTTGGATAAAAACAAAACTTTATTCACTTTTCTTTACGTGCACTCCGCCACACTGCAAAAGGCGTTCTGCTGTTCTGTTCTAGGGTTGCACTAATTTTTTGTCGGCTTAGCGATGATTTTATTCGCCACGCCACAGTTCCATTTTTAGATGAAATAAATCAGACTGAGTAATGAATGATATATTTTCGAATTAGGCTAAGGGTATCTTCTGGGTTCAATTCTTCTATAAGCCTAAAAGTATCAGGTTGATGCAAAATATTGAAATTGTATAAAATTATTGTAAGATAGGAGCTAGATATTAATATATTACGTGCATACTACCACAAGTATCTTAGTTGGAAAAATTTATAATGAATATTTATGAGCTGGGAAACTATTATAAATAATGACTAAATTTATTCGCACATTTTTTTAAATAAATTTTTTCAATTGGACTAAATAAATTTAGTTATAGATTTTCTTCCTATTGCAATAGTTCAATTAGACATAGGCTCAAAAACTTTCAAACGTGATAAAAATTAAATTTGCGACAGGTTACAATTTAAATAATTGCCACACTATTAATTATTTGAGTAATATTTTTGTTCACTTATTAATAATAAATTTTGTCTAAATTTTGCCTCTTAACTTATAAGGCCTAACATTTAACCGACAGGAGTTGAGCAAAGATTCCTAAATTTTCATCGAATCCTAGTCTCTGTAGACTACAGCCATTACCTCCTACATCAGAAAGCCTACACACTGCTTTTTTTATAAGTAGTCTGCGCAGACTATTTAAAAAGTGAACCAGTTGTGAGCATGAATCAAAATTCTTTTTTAAAAGTAATTGAGAGAAATTTATCATATATATGTGGGTGATTCTCACGAAACATGACAATTCGGACCAAAAAATTTATTCAAATTTGAAGTTCTCAAAATAATCTAAAATTTTTTTTGTATACTTCTTTAGCTACACTTATCAATATCTTATACACAGCAGTGCAGTTTATTGACATTTGCTCGAGAAAAAAAAATAGAAATTCACCAAATCTTGAATGCCAGGAAAATGGCATATTACCTTAGAAGTTTAAAAAACAGTCATTTTAAGTTAATAGTAAGTAACTCAACTTAAGCCTTTATGTTAGATGGACCATAAATTGCTTAAATTAATTCTTTTTATCCACTGTAGAAAGAAACAAAAAAATTTTTGTTGCTGATATGTACAGAATAAAATTGTGTATAATAATCAATCATTAAATAAATAAATAACTTTGATTACATCCAAGCATATTACAATCATACATAAACTTGGTATTAGGTTAATATTTGCTTTCCCTCTTTACAGTATTAGCAGTTAAAAAGAATTTCTGGTAACACTTCAATGTCCTGGCATTCATAAGCCAGGAAAATGACAGCCAGGATAATGACAAATTCGCCATTTTATAGCATATAACTTTACTTTAATTTAATATTTTGGCCGAAGATGTTTATATTCTGCAGAAAACAACAGTATTTCTTAAAATAACTCAGATAAATCTATGCAGTTTTTGTAATTAATGATTTCTAGAAGCCAGGAAAATGACAGCATAAAAACCTACTCTCCTTGAAAAATTTTTTGAAATAGATTTTGAGCCAGAAAATTGGTTCTTTATTCATGCAACAAGACATGTTCAGATAGGAGGGTATCTAATCAATCTATTAACGTAAGATATTGATTCCTGGCGCTATCTATTTTGGTTATAAATCACTAAATAAAAGTAGCCATGAAAATGACAGATTTTCATGGGACAAACAAACTATTGACAGAAAAAATTGTTTTAAAGGAAGTTTTAGTACACAATACCCTCTGCGTATATTCAAGAAATGCTTACATAGGATAAGATAAAAAAAAATTAGGTTTTGAAAAATGTATGGGAAGTTTTGAAGCTAGTTATTATTGGAAATATTGTTTGGGACATGTCAGGAAAATGCCATTTTGATATCCAATAAAAAATACAAAACAGTCAATGCCAGTGCAAAGTCATTTTAAAATACTAACAACAATGCTATTTTTTTAATTTTTTTTAAAAAAAAGTTCTTTTAGTATTATAGTATTAGATTTTGGAGCAAGGGACAGTGAATTTCATGTTTCATGAGAATCTCCCATATACACTGAAGACCCAAAAAAAACTGGTACAGGCATGAGTATACAAATAATGGAGCCAATCAAAGTACAGCGCTGCAATCGGCAACGCGTATTTAAGACAACGAGTGTCTAGCACAGTTCTTAGATCGGTTACTGCTGCTACAGTGCTAGGTTATACAGATTTAAGTGAGTTTGAAGGTGGTGTTATAGTCGGCTCACGGGAGATGGGACATAGCATCTCCGAGTTAGCAATAAAATTTGGATTTTTCACGTACGACCATTTCACGAGTATCGGAAATCCGGTAAAACATCAAATCAACGACATCGCTGGGATATTTGGAATGCCTCGCAACGTGATGTTCAGAAGATATCCCCACCCCCTCTTACTCTCAGTGGTTTATGGACAGCCCGGCAGGATTCATGATGTCAATTATCTCCAGCACTACTTCACACATTGATCGAATCCATGCCACTTCGTGTTGCGGCACTTCTGCGTACTAGCGGGGGCCCTACACGACATTAGGCAGGTATACCAGTTTTTTTGGCTCTTCAGTGTGTGTGTATATATATATATATATATGAAAAGTGTGTCTGTAGCCGTTGACAAGTAAATAAGACAAACCTATTATATTAAAAAATTAAACAAATTTTCAGACACATATTTGTCACCACTATCTTATTTTTGCTAGATTTTCAATTAAATGCTTCTTTCGTAAACTCGTTTACCTCCATAGTGGTCTGATCAGACTTCCTACAAAAAACCGTGTGGAGGCTTTCAGTTATAGGAGGCTTTGCTGCAGCTCCCTTTTTTGAAAGTCATTCACCAGAAAAAGACCCGTTGATTCACAGGTAGCACGAGTCCATTCACTAATAAGCATCGGCTTTACGAACTATTGAGTTTTTTTTTGTGTGAGAAAGTTTGATTCGTTCATACCTACCATGATTGTTTTTAAGAGCAAAGCAGTTCTTGCTCCCACAACTCTTATATTGGCAGCTGCCTGATAGAATGGAGCGAAGGAATACTTGGAGTAGTTCACTACAATAATGTTGTAATCACCCACGCTGAGGAGGACATCTTTCTGTTTCTAGAATGACGAGAACATAGTTTCATAGTCTGGAAAGTATATATGAGAGTATATATGGGAGACTTTAGTTAGTATATATGGGAGAGGGAACTCTTTTACCAGCTGCAGAAGCGTGAACGGAATTGACACTCATCAACAGTTGCCAACGTTTGGTGTGGTGTCGCTCTCGACCGGATTAGACTGCAATTTAATGGAACGAGGTCGTCTTCAGTTATGAATCCATATTTAATTTGGGCAGTGATGACCACTGTGAAAGAGTGTAGAGGCCCCACGGTGAAACATCAACCCAGTCTACAGTGTGCACAATACTTCTACAACTAGTGTATGGGGTGGCATACGACACACAATCACTTCTAATGTTGGCGCCATGCCACCCCAGCGATGTGACATTGTTTCATCAAATGTGTTGTCACGGCTAACAAGACCCATTTTTTTAAAACAAAACAATGCAAATACAACAAGGCTGTCAGAGGAATGCCTTCGCCACCTTTCTATGTCCTGCTCGATTCCTTGAACGAGGGACCACCTGAGATGGTAAGCCTGCAGTCAGTGTTTTTGCTGCAACACAATGATCAGAGACCTCAATGCCCAACCGTATCGCATCCTGCATGTGAGTTAGAATTGTCCTAAGAAGGTACTAAAACCTATTTTCCCCCACAATAAATGAACAGATTTGATTTAGTTTTTTAATCGGATATCAACATTGTACTTGCTCATGCTGACTCCATTCTGACAACTCTTTTTAGGTGCGCTAATTTTATATTGCAATGAGTGTAATGACGAATTTATTTTTTTTGAATTGAAAATATGTAGGAATTAAGTTTTATTAAGTACAATTAGTTTCTTTTCATTAAACGTAATTAGGATTTCTTATAAAATGTAGAGAGCGATGGAATTTAAGTGGGTGGAACTTACTAATTGGCCTTGAAGCTGTTTCTGGTCTGCTTTGTAGCCGTGGACTAAAATTTTGGTAGGTAAGGTTGAATTGAACGGAGAGGCTAGAATAGAGTTCCTGGAATCCTTCAGTGTATAAGGATTCATCGAATATTGTGGACCGAATAGATAATATTGGACGTCCTCCAAGTCTTCAGGTAAAGCACTGTAGGGCCTTAGCAGTGGTTCATACCAAGGCGGACCGTTGTTGAAGCACTCGACGCCTTTTATGCATTTCGTCTGTGAAAAGACTGTCAAAACAAATAATAATTTTTTTTTAAGAACAGCGTTTTAAATTACCAACGATAAAATTTTTTATTAAATCCCATTCTCTACGTCACGAGTCTTCATTGTTCATCTCTCTCAAAATAATTGCTAAATTAATTCATATTATTGCATTTCCCTTTAATATTAAGTTATAAATTTCAAACTCGGACCCTAAGTAGAGGTCCACGTTCCAAACATGCCCGCCGAAGGGAATTTTTATAGGTGAATTAGGGGGGGGGGCAGGGTGAGCCCCCAAGGGTCTATTGCATAGCTGATCGTAAGAGGGCTTTTGAAGCGAAATTGTGGCCGGCTTCTCGTGTTCGAGCGGTCTGGTGGTCAAGACACCGGACTAGTAACTCACGGTTGGAGCGAGGGGGCGCAGGTTTGAAACCCAGCTGCGGCAATTTTTCAAAAAATTTCCTTTTTATTCACTTATTATGCATTATAAATTTTTTAATGCGTTTTTCTATATTTTAGGGGGTCCTACATGTAGGAAATAATTTTTTTAAATTGGGAAAAGGGCGAATAATGGGTAAACACAGGAAAAAACCAGGAAAATTGGTTTATTTCCATTATTTTATATTATTTTACGATATGAAGTAACAGATGAGAGGACGTTTGGGATCTATTATTTAAATGTTTGAAAAATTTCTCCAACACATTGTCTAGTCTCTTAAAAAGATGCAAAAATCGAAAATTATGCACCGATTTTAAGATTTTTTGTAATACAAGACATTAGAAAAGAAAAAAAAAGCATTGAATAAAATTTCAACTGATTTTTCTTTTTAAATTTCAGAATATCAGAGATTATGCATGATAACAAATGAAATTAAATTATGAGTTTCTCACACTGTTCTGTGGATGATTTTTGTCTCTTTCAATTTGCACTAAAAATAAGCAATTTCATATGTTATCGTTATCAAATGTATGCTACTATAATCAGTAGGAAATAGCAAAAATGACAAACCGTCAAAAATATTGCAATGTATCTACCACTACGAAAATATAATTCCAATTCACTAGTATATAAGACATGTTAACTCAATTCTACGATGGGTATCTTTTCATAGATGAAAGTTGACATTGTCAATAACTTCTCTCTCTACATTGGTGACCTTCGGACGTGATGTGAACACGCCTACCTTGGCAAAAACGCCCACTTTGATTTGAACACGCCTTCTTCGATGGATGGTCCACATTGAACAGTTGACTTGCTACTTGTGACTGCGACATTGTCCTCCTCACGCTGTTGGTTCTTAGTCTCGATCACGTACAACGTATACACTCGACTGCTAAAGGCAATTCAGGAGCGACCACGACAGTGAACTTAATACATCTCTCGCAATCAGCACTCAAAAAGTACGGTGATCTTACTACAGTTCTCACGGCTTCTCACAAAATAGCAATGAATCAACTAGTGATATCCGTTCATCGAATTCTATCACAGACATAATTCTGGTAGGGGAGTACTGTAGTGTATCTACCACCACGAAAATGTAACTCCAATTCACAAGTATATAAAACATGTTAACTCGATTCTATGTTGGGGCACCTTTTCATAGATGAAGGTTGACATTGTCGATATCTACTATCACCACATTGGTGACCTGGACGTGATGTGAAGACGCCTACCTGGACAGGAACTCTCACTTCGATTTGAATACATCTACTTCGGCTTATAATAAAGTTATTTTAAAAAAGTTTAAGAAACTAGAATTTGATAAAATATAAAAATCAATGCACAAAAAATTCTAATTGTACTTACGGTAAAAATAAGTATGGCAAGTTCTTTTGTAAATGTCGCTCATGGTACTGAGCATGTCAAAAGAATGACTGTACGTAATGGTGCAAACCACAATCCACAAGACGATAATTTTACTGAAATCCATTTTCGCCTGAGAAGAGATAATTTTTGAGAGAAGACGGAGATAATTTCTTACACTTTACAACATTTACCTGATAAAAAGTGAAAATAATCCTCCACCTATTTAAAAGAAACTATATATTTTACGCAGTTGATTTACATTCAGGTGTTTTTAGTAATAATTTGATAGGAAAAATAAAATTAATTTTTCTTTTCTTCTTAGAGGTCGGTCATCCAAAAGCATTCGATTGGCAAGCGAGTAATTTCGGTTTTAAGTATAGAATTAAACTCAATATCTTCTAAATGAAAAATTAAATTTAATCAGTCAAATATTCCGTACGATGATCTTTTTTGTCGTCCTTTATTTGAACCCCAAAGCGATAAGACCCTATTACTGCAGGCGTGGTGGCTCAGGGGATAGAAGTGTAAGGGTTCCCATGTTTTGAGTATTATCTTCTGTTTTTTATGTCTTCTGATCTGAAATAAAATTGATTTATAAATTAACTTATTAATCGGAAGTAGTAACCCGGAAGTCTTTTTACGAATTTTGACCGCAAGCGCCCCCTGCTGCTTTATACGATTTACCATTTATAACGAAATATGTACCACCACTTTTTCAATATAGTTACCACTTTTTTTCTAGAGCATTCGCCTTCCAATAAAGTGAGCTGGGTTCGAATCCAGAAAAGGCAGCTCAATTCGAATTCCGCATACAGTTCGCACCGACCACAGTGGTAAACGGATCATCTTTCTGTGAGGCTAACCGTGGGTGGTTTTCCTCTCCTCTCCATGTAATTCAAATGTGGATTAGTTCCATCAAAAAGTCTTCTACGGAGGCAAATTTCTTCCCAATGCTTGATCCAGGAGTTCCCTTGTCTTCTGGCTTGGGTTCAATATAACAAGGCTACGGAGTTGAATATTAGTAGTCGTAAACCCAAAATATTGGGTCGGCTGTTCACCGACGGTTATAAAATATAAAATAGAAAGATCCTATTACTGAAATTTTTACCATTTAAAAAGTTTTGCTAACTTCGAAATGAATGATAATCCGTATCCGATAATGCAAGGTCAAAACTACATGGGGAATCTCAAAAGAAGCGTGTACCACCACGACCATGTGAAGCCTCACTCATCTTAAAATTATTGAAGCTAGTTTGGGAAGTGATATCACATCACCCTTACAGGCTCGACATTGCACCATTAGATTATCATTTATTTCAAAGTTAAGGAAACTTTTTAAAAAGTAAAAAATTTCAGTAATCTCGAAAATTGCATCTGGTTAATTGAGCGAGTGTGGAAGTGATGGAAACATCGATAGGAAATATCGAACTTTATTTCATACTAAAAAACCGAAATTACTTTTCTGTCAACCCCCCCATAATGTCTCTCTTTGAGGTGAGGGAGAGGTTTTGTGACAAAGGGTGATAACAAGGAGTGTTTAAAATAAATAAAAATAATTTAAAAAAAAAAACATTTAAAATTAGCAGACAATTAAATATATTTATATAATTTCTTTCACTTTATTTCAAAGTGATTCTAATGTGTTTTTTCTTCTTCTATTGATTTTGAATTGTATTCATGTTGATTTTATTTTGTATAAAAAAAAAGGAATGTTGATTAAGGTTTAAATTAATCCTACCAAAAAGCAAATTAAAAAATGAATTTATGTTAAACAGAAATCTTCACGGACTTTAACACTCTTATAAAAAATTACGCGAACCATTTTCACAAAAATTCATTCGAACAAAATTTTTATTAACTGCATTTCAAACGATTTTCAATGACGTAAAAAAAGTGAATTATCAGTTCTTACCAAACCTCTGTGGGAAAAGGTCGCCACACACAAAGATGTAGTAACTATTTTTTATTACAATTATAACTAAGATACTTCATAAAGTTAAAAGAAATGATTTAAAAATAAATATCAAAATTTTACATTAAGAACAGCCAAACGTTCAAGGAAATAGAAAACGAAATGCAGTTTTGGAAGAAAAGTGAAAAAAGTTTGAAAGTCATTGAGGTGATGAAAAAGCAAAAGATTATTTAGATTTTTATAATTTTCCGATTAATTCTCTGTCATGCAAAGTAGTTAAGCAACTCAATAATTTGCGTTGTTCTAGAAAAAATTGGGTAAACAATGACTAAGCATCAGGGAAGTTGTCTCTGGAAATTATATAAAAGTTATATCCGCCTGTCACAGATGTTTCAGAAGGGTTTTTTTTTCCACCGCCAACTGTTACTTATTGAAGTTATACTTCTTATGCGGCATCCAACAAGGTTGCGTTAAACGTTTAACACTACATTTTTATTGGCCGGGAAATCACGTGGTAGGATCCAGTTTTCCCTCATTCATTTCCATATTGTTTTGGTTCTCACTAGCATGAAAATAATAAAAGTATTGTTTTTCTATAAATATTTTTTTAGTTTGTTTTGATACACATATAATTTAATAGGGTAGTATTTTTTATTTTCAAATTTAGTGGATAACAATTGTAAAAAATGAGTGAAAACAATCCCACGGACAATGCGACGGATTTAAGGTTATGTCAAGGTACGTCTCTTGTGAATATCAATTGATTGTTAGGTTTTCTCTTCTGAAATTACATTATGACGCATTCACATACATTATTAATACAAATACATTTTCCAGGGCGAGACGATGAGGCAACCACAAGCACTTCCACTGGTTCAAGAGGTCCACGAGGGAAAAATGCACAATATTACCGTGATTACAGAGCACGGAAGCGAGCGGAGCAGGAAAAAGAGTCGTTGAATAGAACTAGTGATCCTTCTACGACTGCTGATTCTTCTACAATTAACGTCGCAGGTTACGAAGTTTAACCTCTTCCGCGCGGAGGGACTCCACGCACTATTTTTTTTAGTTACATGACTCTCAAATGGAAAAATGAGTAATTTCGTATATTCGTAAAAGAAATACTCCTCTGATATTAAAATGTTATCGATGCGGTCAGGGAAATTAGATTTTTTTTTGCCCCCACGCATTCTTTTTAGTCCAGTAAGATTTTAAAAAAATTTCGAAAAAATACCCAAACTTTTTTTTTCATTGAAAGCTTTTTCACGTATAAATATAAAAATTTAGTGATGGTGTCGCTGTTTTCCATTGTTATCGGTGCATATTAATTGGCCGGAAAATCACGTGGTAGGATCCAGTGTTTCCTCGTTCATTTCCATATTGTTTTGGCTGTCATCAGCATAAAATTAATTAAAGTTATAAAGGTATTGTTTTTGTATTTCTACTTTAAAGGAATTTTACTGTACTGCTATTATTACGTTTTTAATTTACGAGTTTAAAATTAAGATAACTGTTTTTTTTTCATTATTATTATTACGAGTTTGAAATTAAGATAATTGCTATTATTATTATTATTACGAGTTTAAAATTAAGATAATTGTTTTATTGTTATAACGTAATTCTGCCCTACATTTTAAGATCAAGTTATTTAAATCAGTGTCTGGTCTCTTATTAACTGTTTTACAATTATTATTTTTTGTGCAAATAACATTAATATATTGTTGAAACAAAATTTCATAGGGAAATATACCTTATATGTTCCGATAACCCCTAAATAGGAAGGTAAGTATAGCTCGTTCACCAGGAGTTGGCACTTGGCTCCGCCTTCATCACGTGGTATGCGNTAGTACTTTTTATACACAAAAATGCTTGCCAATATATATTTCATTTTGACTTCGTAATAGTAAATTAAACGTAAAAAATGACTTCGGAAACAATATCTCACTTGGTTGGATAACAATGTCAGATACGTAAATTGCAAAAATTGTACTTCTGTGGAAAAAAACCGTACTATTTCAATTTTTTAACTATTAGTTATTTTATTTTTATTTAACCGTTTTTGAACAGCCGACCCAATTTTGGGGTAACTCAGCCGCAAGCCTTTCTACTCCGTAGCTTTGCAATTTTGAACCAATACAGAAGACGAAGAACCTCCAGAATCGGCACCCCCAGAGATATGATTGGTTATGGGAACATGGAGGATATTGTGTGACTCGACAGCTTTAACGTGCATCAGTCACCATTTACTAAACGACGGGGAGGCTTCAGCTAGCTGGGATCGAACCCGCCGTCTCTTGGACCTGGGCCCAGTCCTCTACCAACCAGGTTATCCCGGCCTTAACAATTAGTTAGATCGTCTCTGAATCAGTTTCATTCAATTCAGCGAGAAAAAATACCTATGAAACCATCGACGCACCAAGACGCGCAAAATCGACGCTCGATCAGGCTGGAATGATACCGACTGGGGACGTATAGTCTTTAGCGACGAATCCCGCTTCCAACTGCGTCCTGACGATCATCGAAGCTGTGTTTGGAGACGAGAGGGGGATCCTGCCTTCACTATTGCACGCCACACCGGCCCTCAACAAGGCATTATGGTCTGGGGCGCCATTTCCTTTGACAGCTGGACCTCTTTGGTCGTCATTAGAGGTACACTTACTGCACAGCGGTGCATCGACGACATCCTAAGACCTGTTTAGTTACCGTTCCTTTTGCAGCGCCCTGGGCTGGTTTTTCAGCAGGACAATGCCAGACCACATACGGCACGTGTTGTTATGAACTGTCTGCAAGCTTGTCAAACTCTTCCTTGAAATGCCAGATCACTAGATCTCTCTCCCATCGAGCATGTCTGGGATATGATGGGAAGGCGATTGCATCTGGCACGGAATAATTAAAATATTTAATGACAATTGGATCGAATTTGGCAGGAAATACCGCAAGAGACCATCCGGGAGCTTTATCGGTCTATGCCACACGGCGTGGCATAGACCGATAAAGTATCCAGGCTTGTATCCAGGCTAGAGGCGGGTCAACACCTTATTGAACTTGTTACTGTAACTCTGCAATAAATTATTCGATTGCTCAGAAATTTTAATCATTTACTATTCTATACATTGTCTTCCTATCCACCAATTTTCGTTCTCCCCTAATTTTCAAACTCCTTCTTGGTGCGTCTATTTTTTTGTTATAGAGTATATTTATAAATATACGTAAAATCTTTCTGACTAAAAATATCTTAACTAATAATCCTTGGATTGGATAGAAACATCTTTCATTTTTTGTTGCTGCTACGTTTGTTGGATTATGTGTAAGAAGAAAATGAGTTTGAAGATTCATTTTATTTAAATTTTAAAAATTAGCTTTTTGAGTAAGCAAAAAGTTTTAAATGACGGAGTTCTTGCTATAAAGGAAAAACTCATCGAAATAAAATTATGATTTTTTGTTCACTCTTATGATTATTACAAAAAATTGTTTTTGGCCTTTTGAAGTTTCCAATTAGTTTCGGTATTATTTAAAGCAGTAGCGTATTATTAGAAGAAAAAAAGGCAATATGCTCTTTCTTCATAAAAACAACAAACTGCAATTTAATGGTATTAGGAAATAGAGGGGATTATCAGGGATACAGCGTTCACCTTCTAATGAGGTGAACCGAGTTCGAATCCCATCGATGGCTGGCCAATACGAAGTCCGAATCGGGCTTGCACCCCCTACAGTGCTGACGTAAAATATCTTTAGTGGTAGACGGATCATGGGTTAAAGTCCCCTTGCCGTCAGGTTAACCGAGGGAGGTTTTCCTATCCATGTAATGTAAATTTGGGTTAGTCCCATCAAAAAATCCTCCACGAAGGGTTCGAATCCCAGCGATGGCTGGTCGATATGAATCCCGCACCCGGCTCGCAGTTATCACAGTGCTAACGTAAATTATCCTTAGAGGTAGACGTAACATGGATTAGAGTCCCCTTGCCGCCAGCCTAACCATGGGAGGTTTTACTCTCCATGCAACGCAAATGCGAGTAAGCTCCATCAAAAAGTCCTCCACGAAGGCAAATTTTTCTCAATACTTGGTCCAGGAGTTACCTTGTCTTCTGGACTGTGTTCAAAATTATGAGGCTACGAAGTTTAACAATAGTGTCCCGCAGTGGACTGATCGTAAGGACACGGCTTACAGCAGATCACCGAAGTCAAGCATCACTGGCTACTGTCAGTGTGCGGGTGGGTGACCACTTGGATCAGTCTGCGTAGGGACCGAGGGTGTGCGGTTTTGGTCCTCGTTAAACTGTTCTACCTTAAAGTGCTCGACTTCGCGTGGAGGTCGTTGGGCTACCGATGCGGGGGTGCCATCCCCTCGGCAGAGGATCAAATTGTGATGGCATGTCTTCGGATCATCCTCAGGGACGCTTCCCAGACCGTCGCCAATAGCCCATTGTGTGCGACGTAAATGAACTACAACAGCAACAACAACAGTCTAACAATAGTAGCCGTAAACCCAAAATTCGGTCAGCTGTTCAACGGCGGTTATAAAGTAAAATACTTGAACCAGGAGTTCCTTTGTCTTCCAGGTTGGGTTCAAAAGTACAAGGATACGGAGTCGAACATTGGTAGTCGTAAACTTAAAATTTGGTCGACTGTTCAACCGAGGTTTTTAAAATATAAAATATTTCCATTTAATTTTTTCCCAAAATAAATTAATGATCACATAAACATATATTCCATACATTTCTTTCAAATTTATTTCTATACAAGATATACAAATAAAACATACAAAAGACGTCACTAATAACATTTTTTGTTTCATTGGAAGTCCCAAGAAAATAGTTTTTGTTTTCAAAACATAAACTGTACACTAAGTTGCCAGATGTACAAAACCAGAATATTCAAATTAATACATATTCCGCATAAACTATTTAAAACTCTTTTCTTTGTGATAAAATGCACAAAAATGTAAAAGATAAGGTAGCCTATAATTTTATAAACCTGATTAGGAGTCAATAATTAACTACTAGTTGAGCTTTTTAACACAGCGTGGCTCTGAAATAGTTTTTGCGAGAGTGTCGCTTTTTTGTTTCATCTGGCATTAGAGTGAAAATACTTTACATAATATTAACAGTGAGGGAGGGGTAAATGAAAGTTTAATTACGAAATAGCGATTTAATAAAAAGGTATTCATTTGATAAAATACGAAGTTTGCTATAAGATATAAGGTCAATTGAATTAAAAATTAGCTACCAAATTATAAATCTGTTTATAGCAATCATTTTCCAATTGTTCTATTACAGGGATTTCCAACTTACACGAGGCCGGGGGTCACAATTAAAAACACAAATCAAATGACAAGCAGCAACTTTATCAAAATTTTATATAAGACTCTTTTATGTTTAAAGGAACATTAAATATTACTGTCAGATTTTTATCAAGTTTTATAAAACAAAAGTATTGAATTGCAAATTAAAATAAGAAGTAGATTTTTAAAAATAATTAATTGCATATTAAAAAATTCGGNTTTTATGTTTAAAGGAACATTAAATATTACTGTCAGATTTTTATCAAGTTGTACTAAACAAAAGTATTGAATTACTAATTAAAATAAGAAGTAGATTTTTAAAAACAATTAATTGCATATTAAAAAATTCGGGCTACAATAACTTTAATGTGCACCTATGTATTAAACATGTAACGTGCATCAGATGTCTAATTTTTAAGATATAAAACTTTAAAAGGTTTGTATTAAAACTTACATAGTACCACCCAAAATGTTCAATGAGAAATTTGAGGTTTATCTGCTGCAACCACCAGAAAATTGATATTTACAAAATTTAAAAATGTGTGTGTAAATAGTTTAGTCCAAAATGAGTGGTTTCAAAAAATTAAATCGGAGAATTTCTTCGAGAAAATTTCTGATACGCACATGCTAAATTATATTCACAAAATATTAAAAAAAATGAAATGAAAAAGAGCAACATACACGATTATTTTTGTATTTGAATAAATATTTTCTTGGATGCAAAACCTGAGAAATAAATTTTTTTTGCACCGTTGGTATGTTAAATTTCACAGAAACGAAGAAATTAGGTTTTTTTTTTAACGAGAAAAGTATTTTAAAACCATATAGATTTTTTACGAAAATTGTCCTAAAAAAATGACAACTAATATATTTTAGTTTGCGGGCCGCAAAAAAAAAAGCTTCGCGGGCCGCAGTTGGAAACCACTGTTTTAGAATATAATGAAAAAATTGTTCTAGAAGTATTCCAACTAGAGCAGAAGAATTTCTTCAAGCAAAAGAGTAATTCATTCTAGAATTTTTTTTTCCTTATCTGAATGGTTTTAGAAGAAAACGATATATCAATTTTCATTGCATTATATAAAATTGAAAATAATGATTTTAATTTTTGTAATCTACAACAGAGTTGTCAGCATGGACAGGAAAAAAATCCAGTAGATTTTACGAAATAATATAAATTTCATGATAATAGTCGCAAAATGTACTAAATATTTTACACATAGAGAATTTTTTTATAGTCATCAAAATAGAAAAACTGCAATATTGTTCCAGTTATAATTAACATTAAATGAACTTGAAATGTTTTGCATTATGTTTACTCATAATTTTGAATAGTAATAAGCATTTAATTTATCAGTGATATTAAAAGATTACTTAATTAATTTAAAAAATGGAGTTCTGAACAAAAATAAACTAAATGTTTTAGAACAAAAAAATTGATTTTTATAAATGAGGTTGGCTTCATTATGTATTAGCAACACTTATTTATATATTCAAGCAAGCAATAATCTACGCAAAAATTGTAATTCAATACGAATTTTTTGAGGAATTTTACTAAATTTTAGGGAATGTTATAAAATATGAAATAAACTAGGAGAATTCTGAAATTCAGGAAAATTTCTATTTAAGTAATAATTTTCCTATCTGAACATGTAAACAGTTAGAATATACGTTTTCAATAAAAGTTTTATTAAGTTGCGTATTAAGGGTGACATTTAATGTTTACACCCTATATAATGTAAGCGTAATGTATGTAGAAATCGCTATTTAAAATTAGTCAAAACTAACATTATATGAAAAATTCCTGTTTTAATTATTTCGGAATATTTAAACGAAAATACGTTTCTGTATTTAAAACCAACACAGCCTTAAAAAAAAAAAAAACAACTTTGTATGAAAAAAACCCACTCATTTCCGGACGAAGTCTAAATTTTGCCAGGAAATAAGTTGTCAAATATATTCTACGTGCATAGCTTTATATACTTAATCAGGGCCCCACGCTAAGGATTTCAAATTATTCGTCAGTAAATTAGCCAAATATCAAAACTAATCGCCAATTTCGAAAGTTCCAGCTTTCCACTCGCAAATTTTCCAATTTTATTTTTTAAAAAAAGTAATTTTTTTTCCCCGTGGCAAAAAACCATTCGCCAAAACACAAATTTATTCGCCAAATTTACGATTACGATAGCATTTGGCGAGGTAGCGAACGCGGGCTCTGTTAAAATAAGAATCAAAAACGGTCATTTTTCAAAAAAAATGTATAATGAATTGCATGTTATTGAAATGAGTCCTTGTGAAGTGCCAAGTACATTTTGTTATTCTATTAGTTTTAAATTATAAATTGATAACATAATTATCATACATAATACATAAGTTATTGAATGGAATTTCTCGAAACATTGCATGCAATAATGAAATACATGTATCTTTTTGTTGATCAACAAATGTACATTTTTATTTTTCAATGTATGAAATCTATATATATTTCTCACAATTCACAAAAAATTAACAACATTTGTCATAATTATACTTTTTTTTTTTTTTTTAAAAAACAAAGTAAATTTTAAACATTTGTTTTCTAAGCATTGCAAGTATATAATTTAAGATTTTAATGAGCCTACAGAATGGCTCATTAAATTTTATTAATGACTGTACACAAATGAACATATCATGGACAAACAAGATCTACAATATGCATTCACATTCCATTAATATGCATTAATTTTTATTTTATGTTCATTATTTAATTTAATCTGTATTTTGTAATTAACAAAATTATTACCAAATGAAATATTAACAAACAAACAACAAAAAAAGATTCACAAATATTAAATAAAGCCCATCTATAATAGAAATCTTATAATAAAATGGGGATATTTTGTTACAATAATTTAAAATGCTCCTTACAGAAAAATTTTTTTAACTTAAAAGTTTATCACCACATTCTTGGTCAAAAATATATAGGGGAGAGTCGGGTAGCCCCGTCCAGCGGGTATCCCCTCCCACTGTCCATTTCATANAAGAGTCGGGTAGCTCCGCCCACTGTCAATTTCATATGTATAGAATATTTTTTCAAGTCGATGGGCCATCGGACATTAATTGTTATATTAAAAAAAGATTATTCTTAAAGTTTCAAGCATTTATGCAGCTGTTAACATGGTAAACAATAGTTTTAAAAATATGTTGAATACAGTAGTCATGAAATTAAGAAAAATTGGTTGAATGTTTCGATTAAACTTCATTTTAATACTAAAAAAATAATTTTTTCTATACATACAGCATTAAAGTATGCAGTCTTAAGTTTAATTTGCACAAAGAAAGAAGTCTATATGCGAAAAATTGTTCGAGTAATTACAAATTTACAAAAAAATTGGGTTTCGGGTAGCCCCGCTCACATTAATGTCGAGTATGAACGACCAATTTTATTTCATCGATAAATATACGGTTGCAAAGATTATTATTTTATTGCTTCAAATGTAAATGTTATACGCATTTTTAACAACAAATATTGTTGTTATTAAATGATAGAATTCACTAAAAGTATATAAATATGTAATAAATAAAATAATTTTGTGATGAAAATAATAAACGTGGTTTACCTATTGTCAATACATTGATCATTTTCGTTTACACCTGAAAAAACAGTCAAAAAACATAATTTTTGTAACTGGGCGGGGCTACCCGAAACATTTTGAAAAGAGCTGAAAAACGTGTTTTTTTAAAATTTCTATTTTTTTAAGTTAAACTATTCTTTTTTTGGTTCATTCTTTTTGCATTATTTAATTAGATGATAAAACAATAGAAACATGCAAAAATATTGATTATTACTCAATATTATACAGAAATATAAGCAAAATACTCCTTAAGTGAGAGGGGCTACCCGACTCTCCCCTTTATCACATTAATTTTGAAATATTGGATGTTACATCTAATTGATTATAATTTGTTTAGATTACAATCCCTGAAGGGTTTACAACCTAAATAAATTATATACAATAAGTGGAATGTGTATGCATGTTACACATACTTTGTTTTATGGATAAGTAATGTATTACAATTTAGTAATATGTTTCGTGTAATCATGTACTTAATTTTTTTCCTTCACGTATTTAATTCAATAACTTTAAATTTTGCTCGCAAAAATCATAGATTACTGAAATGTTAATGTAAAAAACCTATTTTCAGTGAATGTTAATGCAAAAAAAATGATTTAATGTGTACTTCTCGCTTGTTGCATGTCAAATGGCACATATTTGCACGTGTGTCATAAGTTCGCATATGACACTTTGGCCAAGTTAGTTTTTAATGACACTTGTGATCTTAAACTCGTATCTAATTGATCTTAAAAGACTTTATACATCCTTTTGATCTAATTGCGGGGGATAAAGTCTGACGCCTGATGAACCTGCTGATGAACGGCCTTTCTTCTGGTGAGACTAAATCAAAATCTATATCAGTTTCGTTCAACTCAACTGATAAGTTATGATTGCATCAATCAAGTCATAATTAAACATAAATAATTTGACTGTCTGATAGTCTAAACATAATACAGCAAAAAAAAAACATGGTCAACATATTGCTATTACTAATGACATAAAAGTTAAACATTTATTATTACATAAATGTATGAAATGATATAATCTATTCAACCCAACGATTATCAATACAAAAATCTTTCACAATTATTTAATGTTCGAAAATTATTTTTTGTAAAGTGCCTTTCTTTTTTGTATTTAAAAAAAATTAAGCTTATGACATCTGTCAGTACAGAAATAACAAGAATTTAAAACGTTGCAAAATATTACACTTTTAGGACAATATAATAACCTAAACTGGAAAATTAAAAAATTGTTTGAAAGTAAATCTGGCAACAGCAAAATTATAAACAATATTTGTGACTAAATCGGGTCTCTCAGACCGCCGTTCAATCATCACACATTTGAGTTCGTTTGCTGATCTATATCATCTTCCGTAATATCGTCTGCGGATGCGTAATAATAATCGTTATCGTCTTCACCACGAGTACTTTCCAGGGCATCCTCACTGGCCACAGAGGCATCGTCTTCTGTGTTAGCGTCCAGTTCCTCTTCAATGTTTTCCTCCTGCGAGAGTAATTTTTTGGCAATGGCCACTTTCATGGCTTCTTGATGACGATTCATTTTTCTCTTCAATTCGAAATCCTCCCGGCGAGCTGAAATGAAATACATCATGTTAAAATATTTTATTCAAAATGTAATAAAGTTCTATTTCTAAATTATTGTATTTGTAAGGATTTGGTTTGAGGCGTGATGACACAGGGGATAGAACGTTCGACTTCCGATCGAACCGGGTTCGAATCCCAGCGATGGCTGATCGATACGAATTCCGCATCCGGCTTACACTGACCACAGTGCTAACGTCAAATATCCTCAGTGGTAGACCACAACTTCCTACATCAGAAAGCCTCCACACGGTATTTCATAAGTAGTCTGCGCAGACTATTTAAAAAGTGAATCAGTTGAGCGCACGAACCCAAATTCTATTTTTAAAATAATTGAGAGAAATTTGTCATATATATTTGAGAATTGAATCGGTAGTGATTGACAAGTAAATAAAACTAACCAAAAATATTCATACATTAAACAAATTTTTAGACATATATTTGCTACCACTAGATTTTTATTAAATGGCTCTTTCATAAACTGGTTTACCTTCATAGTGGTCTGATCGGACTAACTATAAGAAACCATGTGGAGACTTTCAGTTATAGGAGGCGTTGGGTAGACAGATCATGGGTTAGAGTCCCATGCTAGCCGGGGAGGGTGTCGTGGTTTTCCGCTCCATGTAAAGCAAACGCTGGTTAGTTCCATCAAAAGTCCTCCACGAAGGCAAATTTCTCCAGGAGCTCCCTTGGTTTCAAAATTACAAGGTTACGGAGTTGAACATTAGTAGTCGTAAACCCAAAAAATTGTGTCTGCTGTTCAACGACGGTTATAAAATAAAATAAGGATTTTGTTTTTCTTTTTCCGAACAGATTGAAGAAAATGAATTGTTTGATAACAGTGCTGTGTTTCCAAAAGTTGCATCTGTATAAAAGCCGTTTCCGTGAAAAAGCATTTAGAATAGTCGTTACTTGGTCTTGGATGGATTTTTATTTCTATTATTTTAAAAGGAAGTTGCATTTCTGTGTCACATCTCTAAGTAAATATTGACAATTAAGTGATATTTTTTTTATTATTTTGAGAATTTTTCTCCTGAGTTTGATATATATATTTTTTTTATACGAGGTGATTTCAANGGGATATAGAATTTTTAAAACGCGTGAATACAAATCACGATTCATAATTTTTAGATCGCGTAAATACGAATCATGATGCGGAATTTTTAGATTGCATAAATAAGAATTATGAATTTTTAGAGAGCGTGAATGCGAATCCCAATGCCTTATTTTAAAATAACGTATAAATACGAAAATCAATGTTTGATATTATAAACCGCATGAGCAAATCAAGACATTGAATTTTAAACTTGCGTGAATATGAATCGCTACATAGGTTTTTAAAAAGGCGTAAATACGAATCACAATATCGGATTTTTAAATCTCGTAAATAAGAATCGCAACATACAATACTCAAATCACGTGAATCAGAATCGCAACACGCAAATATGATAAGCTATGTTTGATATTAAAATCGTGTGAATGAGATCGAGATATTAGCAGATTCCAGGCTTGGGACCTCTAAAAGGCTTGTCAGAAGCAGCGTCGATTGTACTACAAAAATCGGATCTATCTGGAGGGCGGGTAAAAAATTCCGAAAATCTTATTTGCTGTGAGTAAACGGAGAGAAAATAGCTAAAATAAGTAAAAATGAGAAAGGTTTGGTAGCTATGCAGTTTGAATTTTCTGTTTCTCTTTGAAAATCGGTAAATTTTCTGAAAAAGCGGAATACTTGTAAAAAAAATGAAATTTTTAGAAAAATCTGAATTTTTGACAAAAAAGCTGAAATTCAAGTGATAAAAGTGAAAAAAGCGGAAAAATCTCATCCCTGTAAACATAAAAAATTGGGTTTGCTGTTCAACGATTAAAATAAGGATTTTTTTTTTATATGTGGTGATTTTAAACGTTATTGACACTTGTTATGTCAAATTTTAAGAATCTGAATGAATGGTGTTTTAAATTTTAACATCAAGTATATTTAGAACTAGTTTTAACGAGAGAAAAAAAAAGTCACAAAATATACGACATGAAAAAAATATTTGTTAATTTATTTTGTAAATATAAATATTTAAAAAAATTAATAATATGTTTAACCTTGAAATTTTTTCATTGTACACCGAAGAGCCATTACATTATGACCACCCTCCATCTATAACAATGGGCTCGCCCAGGAACAAAGTTTTCATAGGGCACATTAGGAGCCATAATCCTTTTATAACAATCCCTGACGTCTGTAAGCTACTTGAACATAGTTGCAGACTAGGTTCACCCATTCATGGCAATAGTTTTTCCTGCGAGGAATGATGTTTACCAACAGGATAATGCACCATGTCATAAGGGTCGAATCGTCGAGGAACATTCCAGTGACTTTCAAGTCATGTCTTGGCCCCTAAATTCACCTGACCTTAATCCGATAGAGCATTTGGTCCTACTTGGAAAACCAAATTTGTGCTGCCACGCTACCCTCTCGCAATGTGAGGGAATTGCAGAACCATCATTTGGTGAGCGCTTAGTACCAAATACCTCAGACTATCTATCAGCACCTTGTGGAATCAATGCCACAGCGGGTGTTAGCAGTTTTAAAGGCTAAAGGTGGTCCTACATGTTATTAGCAGTGTGGTCATAATGTAATGGCTATTCGGTGCATATTATAAATATATTATGTCGCTTATTACATATTAATTTTTTATATAAATATTATGTCCTTTAATGTTTTTAAAAAATAATATCTAAATCTTTCATTGTAATGACTTTTTTTTCACTTTGTAAAAAACAAAAAAATGGAACATTTTCTATAATTTTTGATTTAATTGATCAGATTTTCACGGACTAAGATTTCAATATTAATGGTTTGAGGACCTAATCTTAAATATGATAATTAGATTAGTTTAGTTTAAGTTACGAAATCACAGACATAAATAAATTCTTCGAATCAAATCTCTGAATAAACATACAGTCGGACTTTTGTTTTACGAACTTCCATATTATAAATGTCTCTATTTTTCGATTTTTTTCTTCTTCGAAGAAGCAAGAACATATTTGAAATTTCCACATAGCGAAGTGAATTTTCTACTTAACGAACTTTTCTTTGAAATCCACTTTCCTTATTTCAAGAAATATTTCAGAACCTTTCAAACTTAAATTACACATTTTATTTTCGAAGCCACTTTACTTTTAGAGAAAGCAGTAAAATCCCTTTCCCTTATCGTTTGCACTTCAAACAAAAAACTCTGGCACAATTATTTATCTGTAGCAATTAAACTGAATAACGCATGCGGTAATGTATGTTTAAAATTACTTTTATATTAAAAGCAGCAATAATTTTATGCCTAAATTCAGTTTTTTTTTCGTAGAAAATGTATGTAGCATGATAGTGTAACACTTTATAATGTTTTGCTCTATTCTTGCTTTCCATGCAGATTTCTTTTATGATAAAAGATTTAAAAAATAAATAGTAGATACTAATTTACAACATAAAGATGCATCACTTGCTATTTTAATTATGTCCAGTGCTTATGAATTTAAAACATGTTTTGTGTTGCTCCAGCATTTAAAATGGTGATTTTCTACTTAACGAATTTTCCGTATAACGAACTTATTCACGGGATTTAGCGACTTCGTTAAATAGAGGTCCGACTTTACTTTATTCTTTAAGGGATTTGAATTCTTACTAATCGTAATATGGAGAGTAGCTGCAATCTGAAACATATAGATTTCATGGATGGTTGACTGAATGTAAACAATAGCAAGCTTTCTAAAATCGGAAGAAATTCAGAAGACTTCGGGTGTATCCCTCCGCTTATGTTATGTTTACGAGGCGATGTGTAAACAGGCTGAAATGTTCTAGGAAGTTTTATTATTGTGATTTGCGTTTAAATTTAAGCTTAATTTTACTTTTCATAAGAGTTTTCTGTAATTTATATATTCTAACAGGTCACGAGTCTGAAACAAATTTACCAAAATTAATATCGCAGCATAAATAAAAGTGTAAAGTTTGCCATGTTTTGAGTGTTTATCCCTTATTTGGCTATATTTGAAAAAAAAAATAGTGCCGTTTGTTTCATGTTGGGTTAGCACGATAGCTAGCTTGCGGAGTCTTTAGCATTTGCTTTTTGTTTTGTTTTGTTTGTTTTCATTTGTTTTTTGTTTCGTTGAAAGTTTAAGTTCAAGAAAGCGCTATATTAGAAACACTACAAGTATAATAATATTGGATGGCTCGTTTTTTCAAGCTTAGGCGTAAAAATCAGTCGGAAGTACTAACCCAGAAGTATCTAAAAGAACACATATTTTGGATAAACCAGTTTAGTGCAAAAAAAATAATTATTTATGTCCTGAGAGGTTACGAAATAAGCAAAAAATGAAATAATCGATCGTTTTTTCGATCGTTCTCCAGTTTAAATAAGCATCTTTTAAGCACTAAATGAATATTTTTAAGCACTATATACATTAACAAAATGCAAAATAATTTTCAAAGTATTTTCATGATCCTGATAAAATAACTAGTTTCTGATAAAGAACTCTTTTTCCTGATTACATTAGCCACCATAAGAAGATCGAGAGATTTTTTGGTACCATTTCAGAGGGCGGAAAATGAAGCCTGAAATTGATAATATCTTGCAAAATGCAGAAGAGTCGCACACGAGAGTGCAATAATCTCACCGAACCCAGCTCAGTAGACGCACATGCGGACCCGCAAGTATTTCATCAAACATGCAAAATGATTGGCGCTTTCATACGCTACGGACCTGCGGTAAGCCGAAACGCATTGTGTTTGAATGAATTGATAAAACGCTGAATCGAACAATGTGAAAACCACGCATTTGCATCATACGTGGTGAAAATCGACAAGAAGAAAATCTCATTTTCGAAAAGGGGAAATTAAGCACTTAAAAAAAACCCAATAAAAAAGCACTTTTAAAAAACTAAATCAAAAATAAGCACCTTTAAGCACTTTTTTAAAAACGTTGCACACCATGTTAAAATAATTTGAAATAGGATTCGTTCTTCACGTTCATCCATAACGTGGATGATTATGGGACGGCCCAGAAAATATCAAAATGGTGTCCGTACTTAATTCCGTATTAGCCTTTAATGGCTGTCAGAATTAAAGGTGGTTTTCTTTTTCTAGTGTTTAGATGTAATAAAAGTCACTGAAATACCTGATACATGTCCCCTAGTGGCACGTGTTAAGAGGACGCCATATCACTGGGAAAACTTTTTATTGCAAATTCTTTTTCACCTCCATAACTAATTTAAAATTGAATGTATAGAAAGACTGAGTTCAGACAAACCTAGAGTAAGCCATGAAATTTCAAATACTAAAAAGAAATTTTTAAGCTATCAAAATAACAATAAATTATGCGACAATAACTTAGGATTACGCAATGGAAAAGTTCTCTTCCAATCATTTGTTTGCATTTTGATGCTTTGAATTTTTTTTTCCAGCAACAGAAACTTATTTTTTTTAAATAAATTATAACCGTCTTTGAACAGCTGACCCAATTTTTGGGTTTACGACTTCTAATGTTCAACTCCGTAGTCTTGTAATTTTGAACCCAATCCAAAAGACAAGGAAACTCCTGGATCAAGTATTGGGAGAAATTTGCCTTCGTGGAGGACTTTCTGATGGAACTAGCCCGCAATTGCGTTACATGGAGAGGAAGGCCACGAGAACCTCCCACGGTTAGCCTGACGGCAAAGGGACTCAAACCCATGATCCGTTTACCACTGAGGATATTTCACGTCAGCACTGTGGTCGGTGCAAGACGGATGCGGATTCGTATCGACACCTCATTGGAAGGTGAACGCTCTATCCTCTGAGCCATCGCGACTCAACAGAAACCCATTGGTTTGCCTGAACTCAATTTTTTTTATTTTTAAATTTGTTCTGGCTGTTGTGGTTCATTTACATCGCGCTAGAGCTGCACAATCGGCTATTGGCGACAGTCTGGGAAACATCCCCGAGGATGATTCGAAGACATGCCATCACAATTTTGATCCTCTGCAGAGGGGTTGGCTGCCCATCTTTGGTAGTGACCCGAGGAACTGCACAAGAAGTCGATCCCCTTACGGCTAAAGAGTATAACGAGGACCAACACCGCACACCCTCGGTCCCTACGCAGACTGATACAAGGGGTCACCCACCCGCACACTGACCGCAGCCAATGATGCTTGACTTTGGTGATCTGCTGGGAACTGTGTCTTCACGATTAGTCCATAGCGGGACAGATTATTTTTCATTTTTAATGGAGGTGAACGAGAATTAGCGACGAAAAGTTTGTCCCGTGGTCTGGGTCCTCTTAATCTGTAGTATAAATGGAGAAATCCAAAAGATAAAATATGATAAATATACCTTTCTCTTCTTCTGTTTCACCAGGATATTCTTTTGGGGGCGTTTCGATGGGCTCGACTATCACTTTTGTTGGTTTTTCCATATCAAGGGAAATTCTATAACAAGAGAAAGAACAAAAATATTGAAACAATGCATGTAAGATGCAACAATGTTACACAAATAATCAAATGCCAGTTCACAGGAGTACTCAAGTCAAAATTATTGATGGTTTACCATTGATGGATCAACATAATCTTGTTGATAACTATCAATAATTCCATCATGGACCATTATATTTTTGATAGTAACTAACATAAGTAACCACCATCCCAATGTAGGAATTCGGACTGATTTACGATGGTCCGAGAAATGAGTATAGCAACTGGTTTTGATGGTTTGTTCATGTTAAACCATCAGAAATTTCCATCATAGTTTCTTAGAAATCAAATGTTGGAACGCTTATAAACAACCATCATCCCTATGTAGGAATTCGGACTGATTTATGATGGGCCAAAAGAAAAAAAAAATCTAATTATTTTGATGGCATATTCCTGAGAACCAACAATAATTCTCATTAAACCATCATGGAAATGTATAGTTGGAACCATCGTGGATTGTTGGTTCATGAGAATCAAACTTCTCTTGATGGTTAACCATCATAGTATTAAAGTAGCACTTTCCATCATGAAATGATGGAAGTTTGTTGGCATATCAATAATCATGAATGCATAATGGACAATGTTGGATGATGGTGACCATCAAATGATGTTGAACCATCATGAATCGCACTGAAACCACCAAAATAATTTGATGGTGACCATCAAATGATGTTGAACCATCATGAATCGCACTGAAACCATCAAAATAACTTGATGGTGACCATCAAATGATGTTGAACCATCATGAATCGCACTGAAACCATCAAAATAACTTGATGGGACCATCAAAAATTTTGATCCGGGTAAGTTTGGAGGAGAAAAAATTAGCTGAAAATAGGAGATCCAAAAATGTTATGAGCAAAACACATTTTAAACAATTGAAAAAAATACTTTACATTTAAGCAAGAAAAAAAAATTATGTAAGAAAGATATACATCCATAGGATATTATAAACGTTTTAATAGAAAAATATTGATGCGTTTTTAATATTGTTTTTTCTTAAATAGTGTGAGTATGATTCTCGAACGAAAATTTTTAAATCGTGTGAATACGAATTTCGCTGCGAGATTTTAAATCGCGTGAAGACGAATCCAGATTTTAGAGATTTCTAAATCACATGAATACGAATCTCGATGGGAGATTTTTAAATCGCGTGAAGACGAATCCTGATTTTAGAGATTTTTAAATCACATGAATAATTTTTAAATCGCGTGAAGACGAATCCTGATTTGAGATTTTTAAATCACATAAATACGGATCTCGATGTGAGATTTTAAAACCGCGTGAATATGAAGGGCGTATGTGAGATTTTAGAGAAGTAGTGAAAATACTATAATCGCTACTTTTTTCTGGAATTTTCAGTGTAGTGCTCTACTTTTTAAAAGAAGTAGTGTGGCCGGGATACCCTGGTCGGTAGGGCGCTGGACCCATGTCCGAGAGTTCATGGAACCCCGTCGGCCGAAGACTCCTCGGGTAGTAAAGTGACTGATGCACGTTAAATCTGTTGAGTCACTAAAGTCCTCCATGTTCCCATAACAAATCAAAACCTCTGGGGGTACTGGATTGGAGATCGATCGTTCTCTGATTCAGGTCAAAATTAGGATCTATGGATGAATGAATGGATGTATGAATGGGTATAAAAGTACTGCATAAAAACTCGTGCAAATTATGTCATTATTAAAACACTACAGTGCGTCTAATAATTTGATCCACTTATTATAATATACTAATATAATGATTGATATAATAAGTATTCTATATTTATATAATATATCGTCTAATTTAACTAATTGATACACGAACGTAAACAAGTGCAAACCGGCTTCAGTCGTGTAAAAACAATAAATGTGTATAGTATCACCTGATAATTAAGATTTTAAGTAGAATCTTACAGAGCGTCTCATCATTTGGCCAGGTACTATAGGTGAAAAATTTTTAAAATCCCATATACCTTCCCAGAATTTTTTTTTTTTAAATTTTAAGAATAATTCGAAATAAATTCATTTTTATAAATCAATTTTAACTCCAAAATATTTTCGCATAACATTAGAACAGAAAAAAATGGTCTTATTACATATATTAAACATAAAAAAGGAGGAAAAAAACAGTTTTTATGATTATTATGAATGAGTAATGACTCACATAAATTTAAATAGCTCCATTTTTATTTTTCTACCTTTTTGAATACGAATCCAAACAACTTATGTCCAGTAGCAGTACGTGATTTTCGAAGTACAATTCTATTTTTCTCGAATAGAATTGTATTTCGAAATACAAATCTATTTTTCTTCTAAGATGGAACTTACGAGTAAAAATTGCCATTCACTTAATGGATTATTGAAGTTTGATTCTCTTTTAGTCGACATTTATTATTTGTTTCAAGTTCTTCGATATCAACAATTATCTTTTAAAGAAAGCGTGACTTGAGGTACTGGGCAAAATTTGGAAATTTCGTTATCGACCAGCATAGTTAATGGTTGTACAAGGCGTGTAAATATGTAACAAATGGCGATTAAATAATTCTTTTTCAGTCGCCTTCCTTTTTCGTCGAAAAGACCCTAACATAGACAGGGGTCTGTCCAGACAATTTGTGAAAGGTCCGATTTTTGTGAAATTATGAAAACATTAAATTTTTTCAACCAGGGTCCTGCTTTTATGAATTTGTGCAAATAGGGTGCGGTTATTGCAAAAAACTTGTTCATGGAGTTTTTAAATTGTAAATAGACACAAGATTATGCTCAGCACTGTAAAATTATAATATATAAAAAAATAAACTTTTATAAATAAACAGTAATTGCTGCTTCTAAATTAGAGATGCAACATACAAATATTTGGTATTTAGCCTATACTGCTGAATGGAGAATATTCATTTCGGACGAATAATGGAAGAATCGTCTGCCGAAGACAAAACAATTCGTTTACATCCATCTTTCTTGTTTTCTGNTTTTAATTTTTTTTTTTTTTTTTTTTGCTTATTTTAAATTTACTATCGTGATTTTCTATGGAAAAATTCCAAAGTTCCAGGAAGATTGGGATAAAATTTCAATTTTATTCTTAAAAAACATGTTTTGCTTTTTATTTTAACATTTATTAAGATAACTAATATTCTCAAATCTTTTAGGCTCTTTTTTTTGAAAATAAATTAGTAAACTTACTAGTTTTAATTAGAAGAAGGAGAATATTCATTTCGGACGAATAATGGAAGAATCGTCTGCCGAAGACAAAACTTAATTCGTTTACATCCATCTTTCTTGTTTTCTGGCCTGTTTTTTTTGTTTTTTTGTTGTTTATTTTAAATTTACTATCGTGATTTTCCATGGAAAAATTCCAAAGTTCCAGGAAGAATGGGATAAAATTTCAATTTTATTTTTAAAAAACATGTTTTGCTTTTTATTTTAACATTTATTAAGATAACTAATATTTTCAAATCCTTTAGGTTCTTTTTTAAAAAAGGAAATAAATTAGTAAACTTACTAGTTTTAATTTTACATAAAATATGTTTCTTAATGTTTACGATGAATGAATTAAAAATAAACTGCAGAAAATTTAAAGAAAAACTGCAGTTTGAAGACTGCGGTGATTTGGCCCATAGCACTGCAGAATTTTTGAAGTCGAAGAACTACAAAATTACTACAGTTTTTAAACTGCAGTTATTTCGATGTTGATCTACTGCAAAATAAATGCAGTTTACAAACTGTAGTAATTTTGTAGTTCTTCGACTTCAAAAATTCTGTAGTGCTATGGGCCAAATCACCGCAATCTTCAAACTGCAGTTTTTCTTTAAATTTTCTGCAGTTTATTTTTAGCTGGGAAGGGTTTATCCAATTAACAACACAATAATGAAGATAAGCAAATTTGTGAAGGGTCCGAAGGGTCTGCAGTTTATTTTTAGCTGGGAAGGGTTTATCCAATTAACAACACAATAATGAAGATAAGCAAATTTGTGAAGGGTCCGAAGGGTCTGCAGTTTATTTTTAGCTGGGAAGGGTTTATCCAATTAACAACACAATAATGAAGATAAGCAAATTTGTGAAGGGTCCGAAGGGTCTGCAGTTTATTTTTAGCTGGGAAGGGTTTATCCAATTAACAACACAATAATGAAGATAAGCAAATTTGTGAAGGGTCCGATTAAAAGAAAAATCACTTTGTTAAGGGTCCGTTTTTAAGTTAAAATATTTTGTGAAGGGTCCGTTTTTATGAAAAGATATTTTGTGAAGGGTCCGTTAACGGACCAAAATTTCTTCTAAACAGACCCCTGATAGGGTGCATTTCATTAAAAACAATAATAAAAGGCACCCTATGTGCATATTATTATTATTTTTTTAAATTGTTAAAAAGATCAATTTTTGAAAAAGTGACCGCATGTTTTTAAATGTGGCTACTTTTAAAAATGCTACAGCTGGCCACGAAAAAAAAAGTTTCTAATTTTGCCCATGACCGATCAGTGGGCAGTAGTAGCTTTTTTAATAGAGCCCACTTTTTCAAAAACTGAAAATTCGTAACTAATGATATCATTAATGTAAAGCAATTTTTAAAATGTGGTAAACACAATAGAGTTCATTTCTAAAAAGAAGAAAAATTTGCCAAAATACTCTGCGTCGGTTTGTGCAAAATTCGTACATAACGTTTTCAGTGCATTAAATGCAGAGTTTTTGAACAAATAATGCAACATTAAATTTATGTTTATAACAAACGTAGAGTTTTATTAGTTACAAAATAAATCTGAAATAATTTTTGTTACTGTGATATTTATTAGATTGCTTTTAAATATTATTTGGTCATTAAATTTAAAAAAAATAACCTTTGCCCCTTGAAAGAATCGTATAAATAATGACGGATGATTTTCTTTGTAATAAATAGCACATCTCTTAGAGCGCATTTGGTTAAAAAAGTGGCGATTGGGTGGCGATTTAACAAACAAATTTTTAAACGCCATTTTCGATCTGTGGCGACCGTTA